TTAGAGTCAGTCTCTATAGCTTGAAATAGCTTTCTTAGTATGCAGACTATCCCAGGTAATCTACTTCTTCCAAGAACTTTTGCAAGCAGCTATCAGTTCAGTTTCTACAACTGCAGGTTCTTCATTAACTGTTCTTCAACAAACGGGTTGTCTCTTGCATCTCTTCTGTACAGAATATTGTTTCTATCTTCTTTTTATTTTATCCACATCAAATACCGTATTTTTCTGTGTATAAGACACTACTTTTCCTTAAAATCATTACACTAAAAATTGAGGGGCATCTTTTACATGGAAGTAAGCTGAGAACACAGAGAGAACAAAATGGCCTGTACTTTGCCTCTGTAAAGAGGCTTCCTTCAGTTAGCTGCCTCCAATCAGGAGGTTTAACTTCCTACGGTCAGGAGACTTAGCTTCCTCCAATCATGAGCCTTATGGAACTGACATCAGCTGATGCTGAACAAACCAACTGGAACACACCTCATTGGAGGTGGAGCTTGTGGGCTCAGATTCAACAGGGACTCCTAGCGTGAAGGACAGGAAGGAGAGGACAAAATATCCCAGAGTAACAAATGATTAAAACACTCTCTATTCCACAAGGTGGCATCTTGTGTTCTACTGGTATACATGCAATAAACATAACAAACTTCATTTTCTGCTTTATTGGTACCAAAGGCACAGAATGTACAATGGGAGAAGGTGAAAAGATGGTGGCTGTAGGGCTTATGATGACAGAGGCAAAAAAAGAACATCAGCACTATTCAAGCAAATGCCCAATGCTATAATTCCTCACACCTTATAAAAAACCTTAAAAAAAAAAAGTTCCGGGAGAAAAAACCAGCATAGACTGCCAAACACGGAAACAGCTTCACAGTACTGTATACTATTTTCACATGCCTGCCTCAAAGTACTGGGATTGGGCAGTCCCAATGAAACTAACTGCTATGATAAGTGAATTCGAATCACAGAACTGTACTCCTCCTTTCTGTACTCTTGTGACTTCATTGAAAGGGATGACTTAGGGGGAAATATACCATAGTGTGCATACATGGAGTTTGCATCCCTGTGTCTTCAAATTTAAGTCACTAACGAAGCTTAGGTTTGGTTCATTCCAGACGAACTCCACTTTGATTCAAAAATCTCACAGAATCAGCCTTGACTGCATTTACGATCTAGGCAAGTCCAAAGCACATTCCTAATAACTTCGTACACCAAGCAACAAGGTAAAGCTTTGCCAACACTTACCATCTCTTTAATAACTTTAATTTCTTCGCTCTTGCTGAGAGGCTTCATGTAATGGAAAAGGAACAATGTTAAAAGTTCTGGGCCCAACCACTGCTGAGTGGTACCTCCTATAACAGGAGGTTCTGCTAAAGCAATTATTCTGAAGGAAGGATGGATTGGGAAAATGGACCTGCAAGAAAATACAGTAATCAGTTTTAGCTGTCTCAGGCAGCTGAGGCTTGGTGAAGACCTAGATGCAGTCTAAAAACTTGCATTTTTTTTTTTTTACATTTCCATTCATGGCATACCTTAAGAAGATACACCTGGATTATTTTGTTGACAGACCACACAATGACCTCATTTGGATTATCAGTTCTCAATTTATGAAGTGAAGATATAAATGGGCTTTTGGCATGAACAGGCAGATCTTTCATCCCTTCATCTGTGCAAACCAGTGAATAAATAGTGAAGTTTTCATTTAGATATATTTTACAATTTTTCCCAACCTGTAAACCTATGGTTACAGCTTCATAATAAGCCAGCATATAAAAGGGACTTCAAACTATGGTGTTGCTTATCCTTAACTGTACTTAGTTCTTAATTATACTTTCCCAATTAGGACAAAATGGGAAGTCATAGCCTACTGACAACTTCCCGTTTTCTCTCCAGCTCACTCTAACTGGTTTTATGCCCAGGGAAAAGGCTTGTACCTATTCTTGGGACATGGTGGCAAGCAAAACGAGAAATATGGGTTACGCAGCATTGGTTGGCAGGCTGGTTTAGCAGTTACTTAAATCAAATATTCCAAAGAGTAAACTGCCTGTTAAAAACACTCAGATCAAAGCTCTTAGGGTGATATCAGTTATTTTTAGCTGAATGTCATAAGCCTCAAAGCTAATCCCTGGTAGGAAAAAAACCCCAGCAAAGTGTCTGAAATAATCAACCAATAAATATGTAAGAGTGAAAAAGTAGAAAAGCACTCTTCAAGAGACTGCAGAATGTTTATCACCAAAGTTACACCTTTTTGCCCGTCCATTTTGATTATTAAATAGGACCTCTAACTTCTTTTCTGAAACTCAACTCAGCTTCAGCATTCAGCAATGTAAAAGTACTAGCAGTCAATTTCCTCACTTGCTGCATCAAATTAAAGTAAAGGCACTAATTTTTAAAAAGAAGATGTTCTTAATAAAGTATTTGTGAACCACTGTAGTTCTAAATGATTCAGGAGGGCTCTGTATAATTCTCTGAGCCACTACCAGTTGGTTACTAATTAAAAGAAGCATATGGCACCTCAATATTTTCGAAAGTGACTCTTCTTCAAATTGATTATTTGTGATGAGGATTGTTTCATACATCACATAGTAATAAATGCATGTTTACCACCGCATGTACATATATATATATATAGTGGGATCTGTGGCCAAGAGTAGCCACCTGATACATGCATTTGCAATGTATTACCTGTATTTCCAAGCAATTTGTCCCTACACCTGAAAGCTGTGTGTTCCAAGGAAACAAATAGATGCCCCATCTATTCTCATTAGATAAATGATGACCAAGGGCTTGATTTTAACACAGGAGGTGTTCCGGTTTTTGGTGTTGATACAAATGCCAGCAAGGTCCAGGCACATCAAGAATAATTTTCTTTCTAAACTTGCCTAAGTCACTCTATCACACCCATACAAAGAAGGGCCATGGACCATGACACAAATTTGTAAGTGGCAGGTTACCTTTCCTGTAGTTTCTCATCTGAGAGTTGCAGCTCTTCTTTTAACTTCTGATACCTATCTTTCCTGAGCAATCTGGTGCCATCATAAAGGGTAATGTCTCTATCTTGAATTAACCTGGATAAAAAATTGTCAAAGAGGACTTTAATTATACTGTCTTTTTTCATTTCATAATTAAACTTAGGGGGGAAAATCTGCTCAACATTTGTTACGTTCTGGAAACTACTTCATTTATTGAAATATACACATGTAAAAATTGGCCAGCATGGCTGAATTAAGAGTATTATTTCAGTTTCAATGTAGTTTCTGAAACTTGGAAGTCACATTGAGGTTCAGAAGAAGCATTGAAGATTTAGGGATGAATAGAAGGGGAGTCTTACTTGTAGAATCATAGAATAGTTGGGTTGAAAGGGGCCTATAAGGTAACTGAGTCCAATCCCCTGCCCATTGCAGGAATCCAAGTCAAAATAGATCTGACAGATGGTTGTCTGATTTTCTCTTGAATGCCTCCAGCGTTGGAGTGTTCACCACCTCCTGATGCAATTGCGTCCATTGTTGTACTGCTCTAACAGTTAAGAGGGTTTTCCTGATATTCAGTGTAAATCTGGGTTCTTGTAGCTTGATATCATTATCAATAGATCTTCTGTACCTTTCAAGTATTTGAAGAGTGTATTATATCTCCCCTTAGACTTCTTTTTTCAAGGATAAACATGACCAGTTCTTTCAGTTCTTCTTCAGAGGGCTTGGTTTCCAGTCCCCCGATCATCCTTGTATACTCTGAGCTTGCTTCAGTTTGTTGGCATCCTTGTTAAAATGTGGAGTCCAGAACTGGACACAGTGTTCAGTCTAGATGAGGCCTAACGAGTGCTGAATACAGGAGAACCAGTACCTTGTGGGTTTTGAAGACTATACTTCTATTAATGCATCCTAAAATTGCATTTGCCTTTTTTTGTAGTCACATTGCACTGCTGGCTCATATTCAGCTTTTGATCTCTAACAATTCCAAGGTCCTTCTCACTTGCAGTATTACTGAGTCAATTATCCCTCATCTTGAAGCTGTGCATTTGCCCCCCCACATGTAGAACTTTTGATTTATCCCTGTTAAATTTCCTTCTATTGTTTTCAACTCAATGCTCAAGCCTATCAAGATCTTTTTGAACTTTGTTCCTGTCTTCCAAGATATTCGTTATCCCACACAATTTTGTGTTATCTGCAAATTTTATAAGTATTCCAAGTATTTATGTATTCGTGAAGGCTTTCACAGCCAGGATCTAATGGTTGTTATGGGTTTTTTGGGCTCTTTGGCCGTGTTCTGAAGGTTGTTCTTCCTAACGTTTTGCCAGTCTCTATGACCGGCATCTTCAGAGGACAGTCACCCAATGAGTTTTGCAACTGAGTAGGAATTTAAAACCCAGCTCTCCTAGTCCAGCACTTTAAACCACAACACAACATGTGAGGTGGTGATGGTGATATAGTGGTTACCGTGTCCCACTCAGGCATGAAACTAGCTGGGTGATCTTTGGCCAGTCACTCTCTCCCAGCCAAACCTATCCCACCCAGTTATTCATATGAGGCTGAAGTGTTGCTGATTCCAGCACATACCTAGTTAGCTTGCTAATCAGAATATCATGGGGCACTTTGTCAAAGGGTTTGCTGAAGGTAAGATATATTATGCCTAAAGCATTCCCAAGATCTACCAATAAGGTTACCTGATCAAAACATGAGATAAGCTTAGTTTCACAGTGTTTGTTCTTGACAAATTCATGTTCGCTTCTACTTTTACTGCATTGTTTTCAATGTGCTTAAAGAGTGAATGTTATATAAGGAGCTCTAAAATTTTCCCTTGGAGTGATGTCAGGCTGATCGATCTATAATTCCTTGATTCCTCCTTTTTGAAGATTCTGACAATGTTAGCTCTCCTCCAATCCTTCTGCAAGCAGACAAAGACCTTTCTCTTCAGGCTAGCCTTCCACCAGTGACTGGCTACCTGAGAGTGATTTTTAGATGGATTGTTATACATTATTGCTTTGACTGGGTTTTTAGTACTACTTGTCTTTTCCATTTCTCAGAGTGGTATCTGTTTGTTCCTTTTTAATATTTGTATACTTATGGTTTTTAGCTTTTATACTGTCTTCTAATAATATAAGCTGCCTGCCTCATCACACTTTAAATATTGTCTTTTAATTATGTAAACCACCATTGTATACTTATTATTTTCAGCTTTAAATATTGTCTTTCATGATGTAAGCTGCCTTAGGTCCTTTTTAAGGAGAAAGTCAGGGTAAAAATATTTTAAATAAATAAAATCATCTGGTATGTCACCCATTCTTCATGATTTCAAGAAAATAATAGATAGTGGTTCTGTGATCTCTTCAGCCAGTGCCTTTAATATCCTTGGATGCAGTTCATTATGGCCCTGGGGATTTGAACTCATTTAAAGCTGTAAGGTACTATTTGACTGCTTGTTTATCAATCCCAAACTATAATCCTATGTCCTCTCTTTGTACTTCGCATTTGCCTGGAGGAGTTTAGACTGTCTTTTGGGAGGAGACTGAGCTGAAACAGGAATTAAGCACTTCTGCCTTTTGTATTCTCGTTCGCTATTGTAGGTTCTTCGGACTATTTGGCTGTGTCCTTGAGGTTTTTCTTCCTAACATTATGCCAGTCTCTGTGTCCAACATCTTCAGAGGACAGAAGTTAGAACTCTTGTGTTCTTGTGTAGTGCGTGGGATAGTTGAGTATTTGTAGCTGTGGGATCAGCTTTTTGTCTTTTTCAGGAGATTGGGTGATTATGGTGATCAGCGTGTTTTTTGTTATGGATGTATTGTGATAAGAGAGAGATGATCTGTCACTGTGATTGATGGGTGTCATTAGCTAGTCTTTTGTGTGCAGTGATCACCAGAGTTCGCTGACCTTTTGCAGGCTGTATTTTTCAGTGCTGGGAGCCAGGCTTTGTTGAGTTTTAGACTTTCTTCATTTTTGTTGAAGCTGTGCTGCTGTTTGTGGATTTCAATGGCTTCCCTGTGTAGTCTAACTTGAAATAGGATTTCATGTCCAGCTTGTTTCAGGGCATGTTCAGCTACTGCAGATTTTTCTGGTTGTTTTAGTCTGCAGTGTCTTTCACATTCTTTGATTCTGGTCTGGATGCTGCATTCTGTGGTCACAACATATACCTGGCCGCAACTGCAAGGTATCCAGTATACTCCTGTAGTGGTGAGGGGGATCCTTTTGTCCTTTGCTGACCGTAACTTTGTTGTATTTTTGTGGTGGGCCTGAATACTGTTTGTAGGTTGTGTTTTTTCAAAAGTTTCCCCATGTGACCCCTCTGATATATGGCAGAAATACTTTATTTGTGGGTGACTGTTTTTCTTCTTCAGTTCGGTGTTTTCTCAGATTGATGGCACTTGTGATTTTATTCTTGGAATAGCCATTTGCCTGTAGGGCCCAATTCAGATGGTTGAGTTCGGTGCGGAGAAACTGAAATTTGATTTGCATGATCTACCAGTGTTTTGATTATGCCTCTTTTTTGTTGTGGGTGGTGGTTGGAGTTTTTGTGTAGGTACCAGTCCGGGGGGGGGGTTCTGTACACCTTGTGGCCCAGTAGGAGGTCAGGTTTGCGTATGATCTGTTGGTCCTCTATTTCTTTTTCCATGGTGAATTGTATATTTGGGTGGGTGCTATTGAGATGGTTTAGAAATTCTTCCAGTTTTTCTTCACCTGGCTCCAAATTGCGAAGGTGTCATCCACGTATCGGAACCAGACATGTTCCATGTAGAAGTTTGCTATAACTGGGCTGGGGGGAGGGGCTCCCCATGGCCACTCCATCTATATGTTCTGCCTTTTCTTTGTCAACTGTTATCATTTTCCATCCCTATTGAGTAGCTGAGCCACTGTTTCTTTTCTCTGTCTTCTGCTACGCACAGCACCATGAACTGAATTGCACAAAGAGTACAAAAAGAACATCTGAGTATGGAAGAGGATATGTTTGCTTTTCAAATAAAGCATTAATCATGAGTTATTAATAAACTTGCTTTGCCATCTTCTGAAAAAACTTCACATTTGTAGATGGAAAATCACATTTTAATTGAATAAAGTTAAAGATATAGATCAATGTTCACAGAGGCACAGCTATATATTCTGTGTATTTATCCATTGTCCAAAAGCTTCTTTTTTAAAAATGATAGCTCTTTTGGAAGCATAATATCACCTTTCAATTCCCTGAGACTGAACAATGATTTAAAAATCTGGAATAAGGATTCTAGAGGCAAATAAGATATTTTAAAAATCCTGTTCACACTCACATTATTTTCCTATGGTTACTCCAAACTGCAGTTTTTAAAACCTGCACATACATATACATACAACATAATTGGCACAACTGTCAAAATATTATCTATACAAAAGGAATACACAACATTCTAATAAATAATTCAAGGTATCTTACAATATCAGAAAAGATCATTATATGAGCACTATACAAAGCAAACATGTTCAGACACTAGACAATTAACCCTAATGAAACAATTCGGAGGAATTAAGTATAGAAGGATTCTATATACTCAAGATGAAAATGAAAACTGTTCCAACAATAATGATAAAACAATCTTTTCATTACAAAAGAATTAATGCCCTGATCTAGGCATGGTTTAAGATTCTAAAGGTAACAAAAAACTATATTTTGTTGTCATACAGTGAACATTCCCTCTAGGGGCTCCATGAGTGTGGAAGGATTTATGTGAGACAAGAGGCATCCTCAAGAAGGAGGAAGAGGTGCAGACTGACTCACCTACACCACCCGCCGAGACTATGCAACGGAGAATTGACACCTGTGAGTTAGAGTGGGAACTGTCAGTGGCCACTCAGATTGGGGAAGAACTGGCGGGAAGAGGAGAAAGAGGGAGGTCCGTCGTAGAGGCGGGAATGGGTGATATAAAAGGGGAAGCTGATGTGATACTGGGTGGTTGGGAGTTGATATGGGTGGAATACCCATGGACAGGAAAATGGGAAAAGGTACAAGTCCCTAGGGAAGAGACGGATTGTCGGAGAGAATCCGAAGCCTGGGAGTGGCGTAGAAAGCTCTGTGAGGAAAAGGAAGCCGTGGAAAGAGAAGAGAGAGACAGAGGACTATGGTGTTTGGAGGAGGCCCAGAGGAGGGGATATTTGATGGACCATGGGGTCCCAACCGAAGAGAGGAGAACCCCTTTGAATATGAGGGGAGAGACGAGGAGACCATCCCGTTATTAGAGACAGAGACTGAACCTGTTGATTTAGAGAACAGTAACTCCCTTTTGAAGGGACCATGAAACAATCTGAGTTATAATCTGTTGGAAAAGGACATTTGGATGCCCTCTTGGGACCCGTTGGCCAAGAGAGACAATGTTGAAGCAGAGATTGACCAAGCGGACCTGTTACCCCAAGTTACAATAAAGCCTAGTTCTGATTTTCACAAATGGACATCTCCCGTGTGTCTGTTGAAACCCGAGGAAGTAAAGTTTGAACCCTCACAATATAGTTGCTGAAAAACAGGGGAAGATGTGCTAGAAGAGACAGACTGGCAGAAAAAAACTCCTACATTTCTTCATTCTATATTTCTTGATTTAGTGTTATCCATAAAATGTTAGAACGCTGATGAGATAAGCAACACAGGCTATATGCTTGTCATGTAAAGTGTTGTGTATCTTCATGCACATAAAAATAACTCCATACTTCCACTGGTTTTAATGTTGCTATCAAAAGTCAACAACAAATATAAAGCCTAGTTTCACACTCCCACTTTTAATCAGGATAAATTTCATAAGATCAACTATGTATGATGTTTGTCACATGGTTTGGCCCTGTGTTGGTGATTAAAAAATAAACAGGGATTAGTCAGACAGGGATTAGATTCTTTGCCTGTCTGAGGTTCTGATCAGAAATAAGAGCCTCACTCCAACTATTTACAGTGGTGTCTCGCTAGACGATGATAATCCGTTCCACTGAAATCGCTGTCTAGCAAAATCATTGTCTAGCAAAAAGCAAATCATCATCTAGCGAAAATCAGTTTGCGAAGCAGGGACCAAACATTGTTCAGCGAAATTCCCCCATAGGAACCACTGTTTCGCGAATCGCTATAGCAATCGCAAAAAGTCAATGTCTAGCGAGAAAACTGTCATGCGGGGTACCTGTCTAGTGAGGCACCACTGTATAATGTGTGAAATCTCCACATCAGTGTCTTGGAAAACTATCACCAAGATTACACGAATAATGGACCATTAATAAAAATAGTGATTCAGTATGAGTGCTGTTTCACTGGAGTGCTCAAGGTGAAGTCTCTGGCTATTATGCAATTGCGCTTAGAGGATCTGCAAGCCTCAGGATACAAATGTTTTCCTAATGTGCTGTAGTCCTATTCCAATACTATAGTCATGCTGACCTTTGGAGGACAGTCAGGGTGCCAGGATTGATGCGGTGAATGCCATCAAGAATAACAAGCTTCCCCTCAAGGGCAGCTGTTATAAGCGGAGATGGTCTCCAGGAAGTGTCCCCATTAGGGAGAGTGTACCTTTGCTGCAGCAGGTCTCGAGCTGTCATGTCCTATGAATAACAAGCACAGAAGCCATTAAAGTGAGTTTCAGTAATGCATTCATATGGAAAGCAAATGATACATCTATGCGAAAAATTTAACATGAAACAACACAACATAACATACAGTATATTTAAGAATGCTAGCTTTTTGCGGGGAGGGCAACAAATTGTACCTGACTTGCTAATTTTTCTTCTTAAGTGGAAGAATATACTGACTATTGAAAATAATATTCTCTGTGCAGAAGAACTGGTCTCTTTAATCCGAAACCACAGTGGTGAGGGAGGGTCTTTTGAGAAGGGCTCACACTAGGCTCACAGTTTCACACCCGGCCACATAGGGGCATATCACCTCTGAACACATTCAGCTGATCTCCTCCAGGTAGCGTCCGTTAGGCGTGATGGGCAAGGATCCAGAGTACAAATGGTGCAATGAACCAAGTGTCTTGTCTGCCTCAAGTCTCAACAACAAAAACTGATTCTGTACTTACAGAAAAATGGGGACCCTCTCTCTTACTTTCCCACCAATAACATCCAGCTTAAAGCACATCTGAGTGCCTTCACCCGCAAAGGATCTAGGAGGTTTGTCACAAATGACCACAGAGAGTTCTAATTACCAAGAAGACAGGTTGAAACAAGCACACTTCACTGCCATCAATGCCAGGATACATGATTCTCCCTTTGTACTCAAGACCAGTCATATCTGCAATGAGATGGTTGCCACCTACACTCTACATAGTTGTCTTCTATTTGCCACCTCAATAAGAGACAGGTCAATGATAAAAGAGGCAAATGGCCATCAAATCCAACTTTCTGACCAGACACAAAACTCACCACTAGAGCATTAACCAAAATGTTTCACAAGCCTCTAACTTTCAAGTGTGGAGATACAGATGAATTTACCTGATACAGCATGAGAGGTTCTACGTTATATCCAAATGTAGATGCAAACTCCTTAGCAACAACTGTTTTTCCACAGCCCTGGGGGAGAAAAAGAGAGATGAATGGCCCATAAGAGGGCTGCAAATATTGATTCAATCTTAACAAACTCAGTGTTTTAATAATGCTTTTATTTAGCATTTTAATGTAATGTTTATTTAATTCTTTTTAAGTATTAGAATAATTATTGGTTTTAGCTATCTTTTAAATGAACCTAAGCCAACTTAGGTTCTTTTATGGTGAAAGGTAGGGTTAAGTAAGTAAGTAAGTAAGTAAGTAAGTAAGTAAGTAAGTAAGTAAGTAAGTAAGTAAGTAAGTAAGTAAGTAAGGAAGGAAGGAAGGAAGGAAGGAAGGAAGGAAGGGTAGGTAGGTTAGGTAGGTAGGTAGGTAGGTAGGTAGGGAGGGAGGTAGGTAGGTACGTAGGTAGGTAGGTAGGTAGGTAGGTAGGTAGGTAGGTAGGTAGGTAGGTAGGTAGGTAGGTACAGGAAGATTTCTTTTTTTAAAAAAATCCAACTGTACATGTCTGTATTTAAACCAACACAAGACTGTAAGACTGCTATATGAAGTTATATAAGGCACTTACTTTTTCTCCAATCAAACAGATATCTTTAATCATATGGGACTGCATCATTTCTGCCAAAAGTTGTTCATGACTGGGTGTCTTTATGAAACCTTCTTTTCCAGAATGCAAGTTAAGTGGTTTAGTACCAGTAGGAACCTACAAGTAAGATAGTAAAAAGCATCAAGCTTTGCTGAGCTAACCTATGCCATATCTGAGCACACTTAATTTCAATGTTTCTCTGTTAAATAATAAAAAACATGTAACACAAAAAAGGAAGTAAACCATGTCTAATTCTGTATCTATAGCTGAATTTAAAATGTTCTCACAGCTTGTATTCACATGTAACGCTAAAATCATGGTTTTGGAATTGCTAAGGTGAACCACAATCAGACTTAGGTTCATATTACAGCCACTTGCCTTTTTGCTCTGATATACCTACGAGAAGTTCAAAAGCTTTCACTTCTATTTTCCATAACTCAAATTGGTTGTAATGTCTAGATCTGGACAAACTACAGTTAACTTGAATAATTTTCTTGAAATAAGACTATTTCAAACCATAATATTTATCATAAACTGATTTAGTTATCATCGTGGCTTGTTTCAAGAAATCATACTTCACATTAGCCACAGTTCAAACGTAGCCATAGGTTGGGATCCACATTACGTACAGTATAGTCTTATTTAATATGAATTCAGGTAAGATACAATACTTCTCTAGTTCAATGTCCCAAGTTACTGAAATATAATACATTGCTTAGTCTTTTATGCCAAATTGTCAGTAACAGTGAAAAGGATCTATCTATCTATCTATCTATCTATCTATCTATCTATCTATCTATCTATCTATCTATCTATCTATCTATCTATCTATCTATCTATCTATCTATCTATCTATCTATCTATCTATCTACACACACACACACACACACACACCGCCTTTCTCCTCAAAAGGACCCAAGAAATAAACTACACTGTAAACTACAAAACAGTTGTATGATTGCAGTAAATCTTTTCCTTCCCTTAGTCAAGCATTCAAATAATCACCTGAAATGTCACAGCTTTATCAGCAATTTGAACTGTCACATCAGCCTGCAAGATGCTGTCATCCTCCTTTTTCACATGTATTATTTTTGTAGGTATAGAAGGTTTTCCTGAATCCTGGAGGCTAAATCTCTAGGAAATGAAGAATAATTTATATACTTAAGTGAAAGGATTAACATTCTCACATCTTTTGTATTTAACTAAAATGAAGCAGTTTCCTTCCTGAACAAGTTAAATGTATTTCTACACGAACTCTTGGACTATACTGTGGAAAACAACACTGTAACCCAGGATTAAGTGACCAACATTCTAGGGCAGTGGTTCCCAATCTTGGATAATCTACATCTTGTTCGACTGCAACTGCCAGAAATCCTGGCCAGCACAGTTGGCGGTGGCAGCTTCTGGAAATTGCAGTCCAAGAAGTGGTTACCCAGTGTTCAGAGTAATTCAGTTCAGTTCTAGAACAACGAAGAGGTTCTGAGGACTGCCTTTTAGAAGCTATCTCTCCCATTATTCCTGGCTTGTTTTGTGTTCCTGAGAATCCGAAAAACTGGGGATGGCTTCACAAGTAATGAGATAAAACAGATCACAACTGGGTCTACAATTACATAAAAGAACAGGAATTATGAACAACATAGTAACTAGCTAAGAACAGGACATTTATGTGATTCTCCCTCAAAGCAGGTGAACAAACTCAGTCTTGGAAAGCTTAATAAAATCACAGAATCATAGAGCTGGAATGGGCTTATAAGGCCACTGAGTCCAAACCCTTGCCAGAATCCAAGTAGATCTGACAGATGGTTGTCCAATTTTCTCCAGCTTTGGAGTGCTTACCACCTCCTGAGGTAACTTTTTCCATTATTGTACTGCTCTAACAGTTAGGAAGTTTTAAAATTCTCTAAAAAATATGCATGGATGGTTATTCAGAATTTGAGATATAACTTTATATGGTAAAAATTAATTCAATTTCGTTTCATTCACCTAAAGCAGATGTGGGTTATTTAGTAGTTCCAGGAGCATTTTCTCCTATGGGAAATGCAGATTCAACATAAGAACTTTTCAACTTGAGAACCACCTTCCAATACGGATTAAGTTCTTAAGTAGAGACCCCACTGTATCGTACTGCTCTAACAGTAATAAAGTTTTTAAACTCTCTAAAAACTATGCATGGACGGTTATTCAGAATTTGAGATATAACTTTATATGGTAAAAATTAATTCAATTTCGTTTCATTCACCTAAAGCAGATGTGGGTGATTTAGTAGTTCCAGGAGCATTTTCTACCCTTGCTTTGACCTCAGTGGGCCAAAACTGCTGATTTTCAAAATCCCAATACCCTTCACCAAAAAACGGCCACTCATACTGGTTGTAATATATATGGGGGGAAACAGCAGGGATAAACACAAGAACATCCCCTTTAGTACTGAGTATCTGTGGAATGCTCTCTCTAGTACTGAGTGTTCCTGGAGTGGGATCCTGAATATCTGTGACACCTCAGTGGACTTCTTGAACTTAAAATTGATCTCAAATGGGTATGGGATTGATTTTGAGGGTCCCTACGCCAGAGAAAGGATAAGGCTGGAGTCACCAATTCTTCATGCAACAGTTCCATGGAATGCCCAATGGTACAAGGTGGGGATTGTGCCATGCTATTGGCAGGCACCTCCTTACCTAACCATTGGAGATGACACCAATGCACATTACATTGCCTTTTTCAGAGCAAAATATCTCACTTGCTGAAGTTGCTGGATAAGGTATAAATGTTTTTGAGAAGTAGGTGGTTTATGTAAAATGGAATGCAGGGTCAGCCAGTCCTGAAGTTCTAGTTTTTGATGTTTACTTTAAATGGTAGCAGAATCAAGGAGCCATTGTTATGTTTGACTAGTGTTGAGATCAACCTCAAAGTCCTAGTTTATGGGATATTTTGGCTGAAATGTACAAATTTCTATTGCAGAAGAGTTGCCTTTTTTTTTTTCCCCAAAGCTGACTATTTGTTTATCAGTTTCAAAGAGCAATCCTGTCCCCTCCATTTGTATTTCACATTTGCCTTCAGGGTCATGGACTGTCTTTCAAGAAAAGACCAAGCTAAAAGTAGGAATCAAGCACTTCTGCCTTTTCTTTGTCTGTTACCATCACCACTGAGTAGCTGAACCACTGTTTCTGCTCTGTCTTTTGCTACACACGGACATCTGTAGAACACTTTTTGTGTTCCTTTTATATTTATTTATGTGTCTTTTCAATTTGTATCCCGCTCCCATTAGTGTCATAGCACTACTCTGGGCAGGTTATAATCTCATAAAATAGAAAACACAAATGAAAACAGAAATATTAAAACTGATAACAAAAACCCTAAAACAGAGAGACCCAGATGGCACCAACTAATCTGGTTTAATTTTAGTGTCTCTTGCTAACCTTAGCTCATTCTTAACTTTTGCCTTCCTAATGCCATCCCTGCAATTCTTTGCTACTTGTCTATATTCTTCCTTTGTGGGCTGAACTTCTCTCTTATATGTGTCCTTTCTTATTTCCAGGTCCTCTCTCAGCTTTTTGTAAGTGTGCATTGTGTTCTATTTTGTTTTTGCTATCTTCCACTTTTTTTCTTGGAATTGTTTATAACTGTCCTTAAAGTTTCCTTTTATAGAAACTCCCACCCATCTTGGACTCCTTTTCCTGTTAGAATCTCCTGTCATGGGACTCTACCTATTGTGGCTCTGAGTTTATTATAATTAGCTCTTCTAAAATCCGACATACATGTGCACTTTTGTTGCACTTGTGTTTCTTTTGAAATCCAGAACTCCAGTGTAACACGGTCACTTTTCCCTAGATTCCTCTAGTTTTTGTAGGAGAAACTTACCAGCCACGTGAACCAGAGATTTCTTGGAAGGGCTGTATTTGGTAGAATTTGCCTCCTAACAGATATCAGGATAACTGAAATGACCCATTAATACTACGTTGTGCCTCTCCAAAATTTGTTTTTCAAAGATTTCATCCACATCTTCTCCTGATTGGGTGGTTGGTAGTAGTCTCCAGCTATCATGTTCCTTTTGTTTTTCACCTCAAGTGTATTAATGCAGATACTCTCAATTGGACAACTAAGCTCATCCTCCTGTATTTCAGTGCAGAAATATGTATTTTTGCAATATACTGCAACACCATCTCCCTTTAACAATTCATATCCTTCAACAGTTGTGTTCCAGTTATGAGAGTCACTCCATCAATTTTCAGTTACCCCTACCTAGTCATATTTACTCTCCTGAACTAAGATTTCCAGTTCTTGTTTCTTTTTCATACTCCTGGCTAGACATGGAGCTTCATATTTGTATCCCAGGAGATACAAATACGAAGCTTGGCACACAGGTACCACATTGGTCCATTCCTGCCACCCAGAACCAGCCTGGTCCAGTCAGTGAGCTCCTCACAGCGTGCACATCCAACAGCAGCAACATCACACCCATCGTGGATGTAGTCCCGCTGTCACTGCTCTGCCTCTCCCCACAGCCAACCACCCTGGCCAGGAGATGGGAAGACAAGTCTCCCTGCTCAGCTGCTAAGCAATTGGCTGAATGGAGAGGCAGGGCAATGCTGGCAGGACTATATCCATGACTGGTGCGTTGTCACCGCTGTCGGACACACATGCTGGGAGGAGCCCGGTGAGTAGACCAGGCTGGTTCTGCGCAGTGGGAATAGCATTCATATTATCAATACTGGAGGTTACACAATTTGTGACCTGCTTTCCTTGGTACATTTTATGAAGATTATTATTGGGCCCTATCTGAGCAAGAAAAACGTATAAGTGTTCAATGAAGACTTACTTTTATGGCATCTTCTACAGCTGTCTTGCCTTCTTTCCCCAACAGGACATCATATGGATAAAGCCATTTGATTACATGGTGAACTGATATCATAGGGAATGTGTTCTTAATTGGAGAAAAGAAACAGTTTGAATATAAACATAATGTGCAGACAAGGAAATATTAACAGCTAAATGTATATGAACAAGACTCTCCTTTTCATTCAGTTTTTCAATGCATGTGAATGGACCTACCAAGATCTGCACAACAGATGACAAACTGTCTAAAGGAAAATCCGGAAGACCCAACGCAGAGGACTCTTGGGTGCAGAGGGTTGTTGCAAAGGACAAAAGCTGTGCAATTCTAGAAATAAATAATTCAACAGCAATTTTAACTGAGTTGTTTATTCTTACATTCCAAATGCTCATTAAAATAAAGATAATCATTGCTATAAGCTTACGAACATCACCAGTTCATGGGTATAATGAACCTCTGTATATGCCACAGCCTCACTTTCTGGTATACTATGCAAAATATATAAGCCTGAGTACTTCTCTGCTGCCAGCTACTTAGGAGATAAAGGTAAAGGTAACGGTTCCCCTTGACAATTTTTGTCCAGTCGTGTGTGACCCTAGGGGGCAGTGCTCACACCCGTTTCCAAGCCATAGAGCCAGCGTTTTGTCTGAAGACAATCTTCCGTGGTCACATGGCCAGTGCGACTTAGACACGGAACGCTGTTACCTTCCCACCGAGGTGGTCCCTATTTATCTACTCGCATTTGCATGCTTTCGAACCGCTAGGTTGGCAGGAGCTGGGACAAGCGACGGGCACTCACTCTGTCACGTGGATTCGATCTTACAGCTGAAGATCTACAGACCTTACAGCACAGAGGCTTCTGTGGTTTAACCCACAGCACCACCACGTCCCACTTAGGAGATAATTGCTGACAATTCAGAAGCAAAGATAAAACAAAGTTTAAAATGTCCTGGTAAGGAAGGCTCATTGAAGATTGTTCAATAAAACAAATTCCAATATTGAAGCTATAGTCTTCCACTATATGAATGCAATTCAAACAGCCTTGACATTCCATAGTCATGCCAGAAAGTACTGATTTCAGTCCTAAACTAAAGCACACCTATACTCATGGAAAATTTCATTTATGCTTTCAGAACAAGCAGGAGGATCTGAACCCATAGCATTGTTTCTTCTTAAATAAATATTTTTTAAAATTCCACATATACTAGGCATTACAATTTAATTTAATAGGGGATTACTTACTGAAAAGCTTTTCTCACACCAATTCCAAAGGTTGAGCTGAGGTAGAACATAACTTACCCCAATTCAGATTATAGCTTTTTGGTGATGTCAATTGTGGAAGAAGAAGAGCTGGGCTCTCTGTGTTTTGGCTCCTCCTCCTCCTGCATGTACATTACAGCAGATACCTTGCCAGAGGCAGTGTGAAGGCATCGTGCAAAGCGCAGCACTAAGTGCGCACTTCGTGTCGCACTTGGGAGTCATAGGAGGAGTCACGTATCGAGAGATGTAGATGCAGAGGTTCCAGCAGAACTTCCAGGAGGACCCTTACTATAACTTTGTTATCTCCTTTCCTCCTCTACGTGTAATGTGTCACAACTTTTCATAAATCACCCCATTCCGCCATCTTATTTTTATTCTCATACTGTTGCCAGTCACTGATTGCACACGGAGAAGTACTTTTTAATTTGGGTTTTTGTCTGCTTGTGGAGAAATTTATTTTTGCAGGGAAGAGAATAATGAGAAGAGTCTGGGAGCAATCATTAGAATTGTACAGAAGAGGGAAAGATGTGGTGGGAGACAGAAGCTAGCTCATTATGTAACAGGGAAGGGTGAGAGAGCATTGGTTGCCCCTAAGTTGTCCCCAAGCTTAAAACAGCCTTGATGCCAGGCCTTCCGGCTTGGAAGTCCTGCTGCTAAATGCTGGGTTGGTAAACAGGGAAACAATGGCCATCCATGACTTGAACCTGCAAGAGCATGTTAACCTGGCTTGCATTACAGAGACTTGGTAATGGACTGGATAAGGATTAATAAACTGAAATTTAATTCAGACAAGACAAGGGTGCTCCTGGTCAGTCGAAAGGCAGATCAAGGAACAGGGATCCAACCTGTGCCAGATGGCATTACATTCCCTCTGAAAACACAGCTGCGTACTTGGATATGCTTGTGAATTTGTCTGCGAGCCTGAATAATTTTTTTTATTTTTTTATTTATTTCATTTATACCCCGCCTATCTGGTCAAATGTGACCACCCAGGTTTCAGCGTTGGCCAGGCATGCCTTTGCACAATTAAAACGAGTGTGCCAGCTGTGCCTATTCCTTGAGAGGTCTGATCTGGCCACGGTGACACATGCCTTAGTTACATCTCTGCTGGATTAATATGATGCACTTTACGTGGGGCTACCTTTGGAAAACGTTCAGAAACTCCAGCGGCTCCAAAATGCCATAGACTGATTGCTAATTGGAGCTGGTTACAGGAAATCTATCACTCCCCTGTTACAGCAGTTCCACTGGCTATTGATCCATTTCCGGGCACAATTCAAAGTACTGGTTTTAACCTATAAAGCCCCAAACAACTTGGGTCCAAGCTGTCTAAAAGACTGTATCTCCCTATGAGCCTATATGTGTATTAATATTATCAGGGGAAGCCTTTCACTTGGTTCCACCACCCACACAGATGCACTTGGTGGGAACACGGAAGAGGGCTTTCTCTACTCCCAGACTCTGGAACTCCCTCCTGTGGGAAGCCAGGATGGCCTCTTCTTTGCTGTCCTTCCGTAAGTAAGGGAAGGTCCTTTCCTTCAGGCAGGCTTTTCTTTAGTGACTGGCTGTTTAGAAGCATTTTTTAAAAATGAGACAGTTTGTACTTTGGTTGTTTTTAAGTAATGCTTTTACTTAATCTTTAAAATACAGTGATGCCTCGACTTATGAACGTCCCGACATACGACCATTTCGAGTTATGACCAATTCCAGCTGCAAAATTTTGCTTTGACTTGTGGCTGGAGCTTTGAGCTACAACCAAAATAAGGCGAGGGAAAAAGCAAAGCCTCCAAGCCAGAACAGAGACTTAAGCAAAAATACAAACCTATCTTCAGGTGAGGTAAGGGCAATGAGGGTGGTGGGAAGGGTAGGGAACAAAGGAATAAATGAGGGAACAGTGAAAGGAATAAAAAGAAAGAAAGGAAAAAACCAAGTTGAAGTGGCGGGAGAAAGAAAACTCTGACAAGCTAATGACCCACCATCTTGATCGAAGTCTTCCAGAATTTGCTTGCTTTCTGCTTTGCTTTTTTTGTATTTCCAATGGGTCTTGCACGGTTTGTTTGCTTTTCTTCCCCCCCCCCTTCGGCCAGAACGGATTAATTGCATTTCTGATGGGTCTTGCAGTTTTGTTGTTGTGGTGGGTTTTTTTTTGGTGATTTTTGTCTTCGGCCAGAAAGGATTAATTGCATTTCAATGCATTCCTATGGGAAACGGTGCTTCGACGTACGACCATTTCAAGTTACAACCATCTTCTGGAACGGATTAAGTTTCTAAATCGAGGCACCGCTGTATGATATTTATTAAATCGCTTTAAAATATTTGTATAACTTAATGTTTTTAGCTTTTAATATTGTTTTAATGAGGTAAGCTGCCGGGGATACTTTTTTAAGGAGAAAGCAATGTATGTATGTATGTATGTATGTATGTATGTATGTATGTATGTATGTATGTATGTATGTATGTGTGTGTGTGTGTGTGTGTGTGTGTGTGTGTGTGTGTGTGTGTGT